CCAAATTCTGCAGAATAACTGATGTGGGGCCAAAAGGCCTTTGCAGAAGAGGATCACAAGTGTGAAGATATTGCCTTCTTTTAGCTGTTCTTATAACTACTTTAGGGTTAGAAGTTGTTTGGATATTCTAAAAGTATTTTTTCATAAATTGAGACAAATTTTTTCATATATTTATCTCGTATATTATAAAATTACTTTTAAAACTATGATTGGTTTCCATCCAAACACCCCCTTATAATAAAACATTTTGGGAAGCAATTATGACAAAACAAAAGAAAAGACTAATTGATTACAGATTGAAACTGAGATGGATTAGACTAAATGTTGATGCTTCAATCAATTAATATTTGGAAACAAGGTGCATGTGGAGGGCTTTTTAAGAATAAGAATGAAAGTTGGAAATGCAGTTTCGTGAGCAAGAAAAAAAAAAACAGAGAGAAAAATTGGGCTATCACCCGGGTGCTCTATGTAATAAGCATTAGAGGAGGGTTGATGCTTTGTTGAATTCAAGGGTTGCTAAATTGTAGAATAGTTTCGAGCGTTGATCATGTGCAATTGGGAGATATACTGAGTGGCGCATGAAAATAGGCTCAAAATATGATTGTCGAGAAGAGCATCATCAAGGAGCCTCCACCCCATTCTTTTTCCAGCCACAACTATTTTTTTAGTGGAAGTAATCATATTTGAGTGTTAAATATGAACACTTTCTTCAGTAAAGATTTGAGCCTCTACCATATTACATAGACGTTATATGACTTGATTTGACTAGGAAAGATACTCCATATTACTGCAAAAGAGGCTTTTTTTCCCCCTTTGGAGTGCCTAAAATTAGATTGATTATTTAATGGATCGAGACAGTAATTTAAGAGCCAGTAATATAATTGTGGTTATAAATTAGGATCAACCCATTACGCAATCATAGTTAGAATAAAATTCCATCCATTCTTTTTTATAAGAAACAACTACCACCTATTCCTTGTTCCTATTTATAAAAGGCATTTGGAGGATATTTCAAATTTTGTTCATTAATTTTTCATTTTGTTTCTATTTAATTACTCATCTCAATACACCACACATTCTGTTTTTTTCACAATTCTCTCTATTTTAATAATTTTCTTATTCTTTCTTGTAGTTTCCCTTAAGAGTATTTTGAGAAGAAAAGTTATAATTCTTACATGTTTATTGTATCTAATTTTAATCAACCTTTTTATCAGTGTAATATGGTTAAATATTTCTTACACACAGAAACGGGAGTATACTTCAATTAGTCAACAAAAAATAACATAATTTCATCAAAATATATTAAAAAAATGGAAAAAGTGAGGATAAATCCCTTGTTGAGAAATTAATTGTCAAATAGTCCTTGCGTTCAATTTAAATTCTCTTATGTGCAATCCATTTTGCCTTACGTGTAATCACTTCCCCTTGTCTGTCGCATCTTCACTCCATACAATTGAACTTTTCTTGTGTATAATTCATCTTCATTTTTGTGCAAGTTATGTTCTTTATAGGTAAATTAAAGGGAAAATCACTAACAGGTCCCACAGAAGGCAATTTATTACTCTGAGGTCCCACGAAATGTCAAAATCACTGACAGGTCCCAAGGGACCTCAGAGTAATATTTTCATTTTGTAAAATGACATTACTGCCCCTCATATTCCAGATTCACATTTGCTCTGTCATTACGATTTACAACTTCAGCAGCGACTATTAACAACCTAATGAGAGGGCGTTAACAATCCTAGCAGTATCCGTTAACAACTTACTTTATAGAATTATATAACCTCTACATAAGAGTAAATTATAACCAAATAATATAATACAACAACTTTAACACTAAAATGGAAAGCTTTTTGATATCATTAAGAATTTTAACTAGATCCAATAGGATTATAGTAATATTTTAATGCAAAGATCCATTTACAACCTCAACAGTGACTATTAACAACCGAATGAGAAGGCATTAACAACTTAAGCAGTATCAGTTAACAACTTACTTTATAGAATATATAACCTCCGTATAAGAGTAAATTATAACCAAATAGTATAATACAACAACTTTAATACTAAAATGGGAAGCTTTTTGATATCATTAAGAATTTTAACTAAACCCAATAGGATTATAGCAACATTTTAATGCGAAAATCCATTTACAATCTCAATGGTGAGTATTAATAACCCAAAGAGAGCTGTTGACAATCTAGGCAGTATCTATTAACAATTGACTTTATAGGATAATATAACCTCTAACAACTATATAAGATTAACTTTAAGACTATTTAGTTATAGTTTAGTTAGTTATAGTTCGAAGTTATATTATCCGATAAAGTTAGTTGTTAACAGACACTGCTAAGGTTGTTAACAATTCTCCTTAGGTTATTAATACTTACTGTTGAGATTGTAAATAGATTTTCGCATTAAAATGTTGCTATAATCCTATTGGGTTTGGTTAAAATTCTTAATGATATCAAAAAGCTTCTCATTTTAGTGTTAAAGTTGTTGTATTATACTATTTGGTTATAATTTACTCTTATGCAGAGGTTATATAATTCTATAAAGTAAGTTGTTAACGGCTACTGCTTAGGTTGTTAATGCCCTCTCATTCGGTTGTTAATAATCGCTGTTGAGATTGTAAATGGATATTCGCATTAAAATATTACTATAATCCTATTGGATCTAGTTAAAATTCTTAATGATATCAAAAAGCTTCCCATTTTAGTGTTAAAGTTGTTGTATTATATTATTTGGTTATAATTTACTCTTATGTAGAGGTTATATAATTCTATAAAGTAAATGCCCTCTCATTAGGTTGTTAATAGTCGCTGCTGAGGTTGTAAATCGTAATGACAGAGCAAATGTGAATCTGGAATATAAGGGGCAGTAATATCATTTTACAAAACGAAAATATTACTCTGAGGTCCTTTGGGACCTGTCAGTGATTTTGACATTTCGTGGGACCTCAGAGTAATAAATTGCCTTCTGTGGGACCTGTTAGTGATTTTCCCTAAATTAAATTCTTTATGTCTAAATAATGTTTTACGCAAATTATCTTCACTACATGTAACTCAACATCTCTTATGTATAACTTATCTTTTTTTTGGGCAAACCATCATCTTAGGGGCTGTTTGTCAATCAATTTTCTAACAAGAGATTTATCCCCAATTTTTTCTTTAAAAAAATTCAAGTATAATTATGCAAAAAAAAATAATGCTGTTTAAATAAAAGGCATTAATTTATATCCGAATTGAACTGCATATTATTCAACAAATCAAAGTTCCTAAAACATAAATATTCTATTTTCTTTAACTCCAAAAAAAAAAAACAACGTCACACATGTTTCAGGGTCGGGGAAAAAGGTTATAAAATTTTAATTTGGGTAAAACTTTTAACCAGAAGACTAGTTTGACCCAAGTTGAATTTCAACAGCATGCTATTAAGAAGAAGAAACATGAAAGGCTAACTGGAAAAAACGTCAATTGATATTTGATAGCAAGATAGTTGGCGTTCACTAGCGTTAAAACCTGCAACGGCCGGCCTATACGGAATCTATTAAACAACTGATAATAGCAGCATTCACCAATCACGAGCCAGATCGGTTGAAAGATTCAAACAATTCCCTTACGTCACAACCCGTGGTCTTCACCTGAACACTCATCATTCTCTCTTGTCGCCAATTGTTGTTCTTCTCATTATTCTTCTATTTGATTTTTTCCTCCTCAATCCTTATTCTTTAATTATCGCACGACGCTCTCATATGGACTTTCTCCGATCACCATTCTTCTTAATTCGTTGTCTTCCTGAAGTTCTCACGAATATTATTCTCAAATTTTCTTCCATTGGATTTGGAGACTCGGTGGTGCTGGATCGATTGGATTTCAGGTGGTTGTTTCAACGTTCCTGGATTGCGGATGAATGGAAATCTCTGAACCTTCTGCGTGGTGCGTCTCATTCTTTCTTTTATCTTCGTTTATGAGCTAGAGTTATTGTTTACTTGTGATGGAAGTCTCAGCATGAATAATAATAAAAAATAAGAGCACAATCGTCGAAGATGAATATAGTTACAGATCCTAATATTTCTTTAATTGTGTCCCTCAGCTTCATGTTTAGGCGAACAAGAATGTGATTATTATTGCGTCTTTCTTTATCCATTTCATATTCTTTTTCATAAAGTTAATAACTTGAGATCGAAGGCACTGCGAATAGTACATAAGAGCACCATTTCTGGAATTGATTCTAGTTACAGGCCCTGATATTTCTTTGATGTTATCTCGTAGCTTCATGTTTTTTTTCTTTTTTTGGCGACACTCTTAGCTTCATGTTTAGGCGAACAGGAACGTTTCTGAGAAATATTGCGTCTTTCTTTATCTATTTTATGTTCCGTTTCATATCAAGTTATTGTTAACTTGTGACAGAAAACATCATGAACAATACAAACACTATTTCTGAAATTGATCCTAGTTACAGATTCTGACATTTATTTAATGATATATCCTAAACTTCAAGTTTGGCGAACAGGAATTTTTTAACTATTATTACTTCCTTTTTAAAAATCTATTCTGTATATTTTTTCCGCCCACAGTTGTTGTTAACTTGTGACAGAAGTCAGCATGAATACTAGGAATATCATTTCTGAAATTGCTTCCAGCCAAAGATTCTGACATTCCCGTAATGCCTTTATGCTAAGGTGAACGGGAATGTCTATGATTAATATTGCGTCTTTCCTTATCTGTCTTATTTTCTTTTCCATATTCTAACTGTTCACTGATCATGGAGCTCACTTCAGCAGGAATTCTAAGAAAGATATTTATTACTGGATTTTTTTTATCAATTCTGATTTTGATATTCCTTATCTTCAGCTCTTAGTTATATATTTAGGCTTCATTGAATTGTTTCTGATTATATACAGGAAGGAACACCATCCAACCAAAATATTTTAACTTGTGGATTGAGCTTATTCTTTCCTTGTGAAGATTACTGCATATATCTAATTTCCAACATAAATGGCTTCATCCTTGGGGAAGCTCCTAGCTGAAGAAGGGTTCAAGGGAAGCAGAAGAATCACAAGATCCAAATCTTCCGTCCAGTCTAATCCTGATAAGATGCCCCATTACTCAATCAGGGACCAGGAAAGGAGACTATCTGTATCAGATGACAGAATTAGAGAGGAGAGAACAAAATCTTACATCTCACAATATCGGATTGGGGTTGAATTTTTAAATAGAGACACTGCTCAGCGCGGGAGACCAAGGGATAATCTTGCTGAAAGAGGGAAATTGGATGACGGATTGAAGAATGAAATTGCTGAGAAATCTTCCAGCAATGCGAAGTTGAGTAAAAAATTTGATAGCAAAACACCAGGACACACACCTAGAAATGAGATAACCAAGGTGGGCGACCAAGAAGATGGCAAAGTTAAAGATGTTTATTCCAATGAATTAATTGCAAATAGAGGGAAAGAAGAGTATTTGAATGACTTTAGGAATAGGGATAAGTGGCCCAGGATGCTACTCAAGGATGCAAAGCTGGATAAGAGGCACAGCAGCAGTTCCAGTACACATAAGGTTGGACAGTTGAATGGAAGTGCCAAGAAGAATATAAAGCGACAGGAGAGATCATACGGTCGATCAACTAACGAAAGCTTTGAAAATAGTTACGACAAAAATCATGGGCATGCTTTGCAGACAACGGCTGATGTAGCTCTCGATGAAGTTGCTGTGCAAGCAGTTGTTTCTATTCTAAATGGATATGTAAAACGCTTTCTAAACGATGAAGATTTTCGGACCACATGGCGTCACAATTGTTTTTCTTCCTTGAATTTCATTGAACTCGAAGATGAGAACAATACTGAGACCAAAGTCATAAGAAGTCTTGAACAAGCAATTGATACAATAGAACGAGCTGCTGAGGAATCTGTATCTGAAAAAGAATTGAAGAGAAACTCTTTGCAGCTAAGCATTATTACAGGTCTAAGCTTAAATGAATTGAAGTATGGTTTTACATGTGGGATACCGAATTATAAGTTGTCAGCCTGTGCTCATCTTTACCTCAGTGTAGTCTATAAGATACAGAGAAAGGGTAAGGTATCGGCGAAGCATCTTTTGCAAGTATTTTGTGATTCCCCTTCTCAGGCACGGACAACATTGCTTCCTGAATTGTGGGAGTGCTTATTTTCTCCACAACTTTCTCATTTGAAAGAATGGTACAACAGGGAAGTTCATATGCTGGTGAATATGACAAGCAGAACAAGAAAAATGAAGCATCTTGAAAAAGTGTATAATGAGCATTTGGATTCTGGGACTCATTCATTTGCTGTATACTACAAAGACTGGCTCACTGAAGGAGCAGAAGCTCCATCAGTTCCTTCTATCACCGTTCCTTCAACATCTGCTTCAGAAAGTCATTACGGAAGTTCCCTTGGTCATTCTTCTGGATTAGCTTCTTCCGTTGATTCATTCTCACCACAGCCAATGGTTAGCAAAAAACTGTATGATTCTGTCTTTGGTAGCTCGAGTAAAGCTGGAATTGACGAAGAGGAAGATAATGCCATGGAAGATAACTTACACAACTGCAAGGGACACTCATGTGTTTCATCTATTGCTGAACAAAAATTAACGTTTCCCTCTAAAATGGTTGAATATACCGATGAAGACACTGAAGAAGATTCCCAGATGACGCCGCTTGCTATTGAGCTCCATACTGTATGTTTTGACTCATTTTTATTATTTCTTTTCATCACATGTCTTAGAGTGCATTAATATAGCTATTTTCTCTATAACCATATGACTATAATGTGCACGCACAACCACAAATATGCATAAAGTGAATAGATTATTCTTACTGCTCTACAGCGTGATATTGAAAATCTTTTGCAGTTACATTATGATTTTTATGGCATGTTTTTTTCAATAAATTATAGAGTCACATGTACTTATTTGTTTCTCTCTTCTCTTGCTCTGCATCTAACACATCCTCGCATTTGTATATAATTTTTGACGTTTTTGGTGCAGAAAGGAACCTCAATGATAGATGAACAAATGTGGCAACGGAGAAGTGTCAGTGATGATATTGCTAACTCTTTCACACATGTAAAAAGCAACATGCTAGATGATCTACCGTATGAGAGAACTAATGAAGTACCTCTTACCAAGGTGACAGGATCTGTTTTAGGAATGCAAGATGCCAAAAGGCATTTTGATCACATTGTGTCTACTGGTTCACTGTCCAGTGAGGAATCAGTCTCCAACTCTGTTGCAAATGTAACGTGCTCTTGGCTATTTCTATTGTTTGATAGCGCCTTCTGCTTTTTGTGTCTTCTTTTTTTTTTTTTTTGGGTGACCTCCTCTAACATATTATTACTTTCATGCAGCCAACAGAGACGAGCTCTTCTCCTAAAGGTGAAAAACAATTACATTTCATTAATTTAAGCTCCATGAGAAATCATGTCTTGTTCTATCATCATTTAAGGGATAAGTGGTGAATGAAGAACATAACTACTTTGTTGCAGGGTTATATTTTCCAACTATTCCGCAGGAGTTCATTTGTCCTTTGACTGGAACTTTATTTGAGGAACCGACTACCCTTGAAACTGGTCAAACCTTTGAACGAGCAGCAATCAAAGCCTGGTTTGAAAAGGGAAACAGAACTTGCCCGGTGTCTGGAAATAGTTTAGATCATGCTGTCATGCCATTAACTAACCTTGTTTTGAAGCGTTTGATTGATAATTGGAAGTCAGAACAATTTAGTCGCATACTGGATTTTGCTTCTCAAATCGCGGACAAAGAAAGCCATAAGCTGAAACATGAAGAGGCTGCTGTCTTTAATTTGGAGAGTCTCATCACTTCATTGAATGGAGTAAACAGAAGAAATTATGTCAGACAACTCATCTCTATAGGGTTTCTGTCATTTCTTTTTAGGAGGTTTGAATTGGGAAATGTGGAAGAGAAAACACATGTTTTGGCACTCTTGGTAAATTGCAGTGAAGCAGATTCTAGTTGCATATATCAGATCGTGAGGAACATTGACAAAAAATGGCTTCTACAGCTTCTTTGCAGTGAGGATGTTGCCCCAAGAACAATTGCAATTTCGCTACTTACTGAATTATTTTCTCTTACAAGGTGAGTATTATCATTATTTTCTAATTTCTTGGGTTTTGTCTGGCACCTTTAATTTAAAATTTTATCATATTACCGTTGGTCTCACTCGTTTGGAAGTCTCTTTCCTATTAATGCTTTAGTTTGGATCTTTTGCACTAGCGCTAGCTGTAAGAGAGGGAAACACTGAGGCCCCAATTTTTCTAGCTCCCCTTTACAAATGAAATAAATTATTTATTGGAGAGGATTTTGAGTCCTAATGTTTTCTGTTTTTATTCATTAATCTGCGGAAAATGGAAAAGCATGAATCCTAGTCTGTGTCTTTGATGGGTTAGCGACAACTCAGTTTGAATGCCTTGCCTTAATTGATGATATTCTTTCTCATCAACTCCTTTGTCCACCGCTTCTAACTCTTTAAGCACTTATCATTCCATATGTTGCTTCATTAAAGCTGCTGTTAAACTCAGTATTTTTCCACCTTTAAATTTTTAAATGTTTAAGGCAATATATTTGCGCATCTTACGCAAACAAAGCATTATTATCTTCCAAAATATATTTTCGCATGTTACGCAAATAAATTTAATATTTCTTACTCATCTAAAGTAGAGTACCATACAAAGCACCTTGAAAAGGTTAAAGTTGCAAGTCTAATCTTCTTTATAACCATTACCATTGGAAAATTTTATAAAACAAATTTAAAATAAGAAAGATGTAGATACATGAGTTGAGAAAAGGCGTATGCACATATGGACTTGCGCATATCATTACCGCTTTAGTACTACTGTACTAGTACTAAACAAGGGATGAAGTATTGTTTAGCTCTGACATGTTGCCGAAGTGAAAGCCCATTGGAATTGAAATGCATGCCATAGAGTCTTACAGCCGCCGAAGGTAAATAGTACTTTACACTACCATAGCCTTATGGTCTCAGGGGTTGTGCTCTAAATTATTTGATCAATTAGACTTCGATATCATGTCGATGAACCACTTGGTCTAAAGATGAAATTCTTAGATCAACATAATGGTTTTAAAAAGTCTAATATGATAAATGATTGAGCTATTTAGTTTTTAAATCATGGCGGCATCATGTTGAACAAATTGTTGAGGGTAACTCCTTTGGGCACTTTAGTATATATAGTACTAGAATTTGAGTTCCTGCATAATTATAGCTCTTAGAATCACTAATATTGTTATTTTCAGCTATAAATTACTTTATTTTTTAATACATTTGCTGCAGAAATGATGTTATTTCCTTCTTAAGTGGCTTTGCTGGTCCGGATTTATTGAACACTATGGATGTTCTACTTTTGTATCTTCAGAATTCTTCTCTCCATCAAAAACCCCTTGTTGCTGTTCTTCTGTTGCACCTTGATTTACTGGTAAGTGCCAATACTCTTGAAAGCCTTATTCTGGTTTCCCCATCACATTCATTCAATGTCATTTTTCTTGTACTGTCAGAAACAATCTTGACTGTTCTGACATGAAAAGCATAAATGGATTGGGCAACATAAAAATCCTAGCGCATTCAATGTAGGTATCTTGGGAACGAGTGTCCTAATCTCTCACAATTTCTTAAATGATATAAGCTAGATATCGGAAAGTAATGACCTTTCTAATTAATTACTTGCATCAACTACGAGCATGTTGGAATTGCCGGTAGCTTAGAGAAAAGCATGGTGCAAACTTCAAAAGCCACGGTGGACACTATTTTTTATAATTTCTCTCGTTTGGATTGGCGTTTTTCGATATTGACCTATGCCAAAAGTAACTTTTTTTTTTTTCAACGCCATTTTTGGTTGCCTTTTTATCACACCGCTCCTGGCGTCTCATCCCCCATTCTGTTTTTCTTATTTGTTCTTCCATTTTTGTCCTTACTCCTCAACCCTCATGCTTCTTTGTTGTCTTGCCTACGTCCTGTGTCCTATTAGTACAGACGTAGTTTTGGGATAATATTATTTATATATAGTTATTCATTTTAAACGTTGTTATATTATTTATTTCCTTAAATTACTTATTTTATATAATTTTTATTAAAATAATTTCTTTAGTATTTATAATTTTTCCAACAAATATTTATTATTTTATTTGTCTAATTTTAATTTTAATACTTTTTAGAATTATTACGTTATATATGTATAACATTTTTATTTTATATTTATAATTTTATTTATTTTTTAACTATTATCACATTAAAAATATATAATATAAAACATTACGATTCAGTAAAATAGTAATATTTATGTTTTGTCCAAACTTACTTTTCTATTAATCATCTAAATAGGTTTTAACTTTTTAAACTGATTTTTTATAAATATCAATCCAAATATAAATCACATTACACTAACTGACTTTTACTCCAACTCATATTTGCAAAAGTCAGATGGAATAAAAGTCAGTTTTTCAACCGCTAATCCAAACACACCCTAAATGACATGCAAGTAGACTTGACGTGCAAGAAAGCAATATCATCAAGCAACTGAGTTTGCAAAATTAAAGATGAAAATTACACATTGACGGCTAAAAGAGAAGTTATTCAATAAAAGTTATCGCTAAAATTTGGTGTCTTTCCATTATGTCCTCTTTCCAACCTGTGATGTATGAAATCTGATCTCTGTAATTGGCTAGGACAACTTCTATCTGAAGACTCAGCCTCCAATGCATTGCGTATACAGAGAGGAGGCTGTGAATGCCATTGCAGTTGCTCTTGATGCCAGCTTATATGATGACAAGGTTCAAGAAAAGTGTTGCAGGGCACTGCTTATTTTGAAAGGACTTTTTGCTTTCAAAGGAAAGAAACAAGCCAAGGCTAACATTTTAAAGCAAAATGAAGATGAAAATGACAGTTCAGCAGTCAATTCTTGTGAGCATGAAGAAGAGGGCATAATATCATTGGTGTGTTTGCTTTCCAAAGTTATCTGCTTGTCTCTCATGGCCTTTTCCCCAATTATATTAACAATATAAGTAACTATTGCAATGACTCGCGGAGGTTTTTGTATTATGCATGTAATAATGAGTGCTAATGTCACAATTATGTGATTTATTTCTTTTCATAATTAACATGAATTTTTAACCTTCCAGTTTGCATTTATTGCTACAATTTTTGTTTCAATCTTATAATGCTTACCTCAGCGTCTAGATAGCTAAATTTCGTTATGCACTCCTTCAGCTATTGCAGTTGTATGCTTGTTTTTCATTGACCAAATGAACTAGCACTCAAGCTTCCAGAAATATTGATTCTTATGCAGAACATTTTAGCACTGTCATTGGAATCTTTTTTGCTTGCACAATTCACATGATGTAACTTGGCTGATATTTTAAATGAAACTGTAGGAAGATGACGAAGAAAAGAACCAAGAGTGGCTGATGAAGTTGTTAGAATTGTTGATTGGTGATGGAGAAAGCCCATTTTTGAAGAACATTTCAAGATGTTTAGCCTCTAGATACCTTGATTTGGTGAAGATATGCTTATTAACAGTCACATGGCTTAGTTCCAGACTTTCTGTACTAAGTAATTCTGGTTCACCCCTTCCTGCATTCCCAGCCATCATCTATCAGATGAAAGGAATACTGCAGAGTGGGGATCTTGAGTTCAAGACTCTTGCGTCTTTGTCCTTGTTTCATTTCAGTAAGATACCAGGTTTGTGAACATTTTCTTCTCTTTATTAACTTCTTAAAATTTTGGCCAATTTCAGAACTACTGCAAACAAGTACAATATTAGCTGTGAAAGAGAGAGAACTTTAACCCATTGGGCATCAAAATTTTTAAATTAATGGCTCTAAAACACCTGGAATCATAAAATCCAAGCTAAAAGAAAATTGCAAAATATGCATTAAGAATTATTAGATTATGAAGATTTTCAGGGTTCTAGTTTCTCTGAATTATTTTTCTATATGGAGGAAAGACACACAAGTAATGAAGGGAAGATACACGATAAGATAGAAAACAACCTATATGTGAGATGCATGCCAAGATAGAATAGTAAGGATAGCGTAAACTAGCTAATTAATGTCAGAAAAGATCACAACAGAAACCCCATTATTTCCCACACGCTTCCTTAGGTTGGGAAGTGAATATTAATAATGCTTAGCTTGATCTCAGTTCCTCAAACTTGATCTTTGGCTGTAGGCCCGGAGGTATTATTTCACTAAAGTGGTGACCCCATCCCTTGTGTTTGGAGGTTGTGATATTCCTATTTAATATTCTTTTCTGGTTAATCGAGTTATGTTGTGAACATTTTAAGGGATATCAACAAGCCATATTGATAATAATGGTAAAGATAAATTTTTTTTAAAATTAATGCATACATCATTTATGCACAGTTTTCATTATCTACAAATTTCTATTCTGTAGTCTAATACCTTAAATCCGGAATGTGCAGAAAGCAGAGCCCTTATGATGACTATGGCAGAAGATATTGCACTATCCCTCTTCATAGAATTGTTGATGTAACATGGAGTGCAAAGCAGCTTCTTATCATGTTAGGGAAGGATTTGTAATATTTAAGGAATAATTGGCGTATGCCATTCTGCCTGTTTTCAGGGATCCATTTTGGTGCTCTCAAATTTTTCTTTTACTTATGTAGGCTGAATTCGACAGGACCTGGCATAATCCATCCCCAAAGTAAGTTGTTTGCCTGGAAATGCGTTACATTAATTATTGATATATATATATATATATATTCTCTGTTATTTCGAGTTATGATGTGATATTTGTCTGTATATTTTTTATATTTAGAGAACAACTGCCAATATAATAAGTAGGATTCAACTAGTTTTACACTGGCCTTTCACAACATTTACAACTAGCTAGAAGTTTTCAACCGTGTTTTTAGTGAAATGAGGAGTATAATTTCATAGAAAGAATACAGAGTCAGCATTTGGTTTACGAAATTGACACTAGGCTGCAAATCAGCTATACATAGGAGAAAACAAAAGCTAAAGACCTAGCAAGTAATGGTTTTAGGGAGTGTTTGGATGAAACCAAACTATGATTTGGATAATAACTTCTGGAGAATAGATTATGGGGAGAATAGATTTTGTGAAGAATAGATTTTGTGAAAAAGTGATTCTAAGAAATGAGAGTGTTGAATAGTTGTTATCAGAAACACTTTTTATATATACAAATTACTAAAAAAACATAAGTTAATATGATAATTAATAAAAGATAGATTTTTATGATATATTTTAATTTGAAAATAAAATTGTTGTTATAATATATTTTTTACCAACATAATTAATAAATATATTAATTAATTGTTAATATGTGTATTAATTAATTGCTAATATTTTACATCTATTTATAATTAGTTTTATACTGGCCTTTCAACATTTACGGCTAGAAGTTTCAACCCGTTTTGAGTGAAATTAGGAGTATAATTTCATAGAAAGAATACAGAGTCAGCATTTGGTTTACGAAATTGACACTAGGCTGCAAATCAGCTATACATAGGAGAAAACAAAAGCTAAAGAAACTAGCAAGGTAAATAGCTTTAGTTTATAGAAAAATTTTAATTTATGATGATAGATGTGCTAATGCTAAGACTTGTTCACTTCCTTGCACCGTGAAAGAGGAAGCATTAGCAAACAGCCGTTTGTCTCTAGCATTCCAAAATTTTCCAACAAAGTAAAACCCAAAATAGTTCTCCAAGCTTGATTCCTGTGGCATGGGTTCAGATTGGCGGTTAAACATCTCTTGAAGCATGGTAAAGAACTTCATTCTATATTCCGCACGACGTACCTATCAGCTGCCCGCTGGAGGAAGCAAGAGGCTAATCCCACATGAACAGAGGAAGGAGTGCATTAGTGGGAAACAATTAATGTTAACAGTCAATATTAACTTTTTAACAGTAGGACAAAATTATTACGATTTTAAACTTGACAAATTTGCACGTTAACTTTTAAAAAAATATCCAATATCTTTAACATCATACAAAACAGATTCATTTTGTAATCCATTCCATATCATTTTCTATCATTCCATTCCACTCCTTATTATTTTATGAACTAAAAAACCGGCCAAGTTTACCAATTATATTTCACATTTCACTTTCAGCATATACAACTAAAACATATTTATGCATGTTAGCTTTAGTTTTTAACAAGTCACTAAGCTAGCTCATTGATAGGTTTAGTTTACTATATATACAAAAGTTTTTACAAGTCACTAAGCTAGTTCATTGGTAGGTTTGTTTAATATATAAACAAAAGACAATGATAGTTTTTATACAAAATAATAAAGAGTTTTTCACTCTATGATATGAAAAGAATAGTTTTATGATTTAACTGTTAAATATATTTCCCTATGAATTCATTCTTCTAGGCATAAAGGTATACTGTTCTTGTTTTTATTATAGTTTTTCAAATTCAAAAAAAATAACGTACGTTTTGGGAAAATCATTCTTAAAATTTTTTTTTAAGATGTTCAATTTTTTTAAATATAAATAAAATTATATTTCTAACAATTTTTAATAATTTAACTTGATTAAATTATTAACAATAATTAATGTACTATATGCAAAAATAAAAAGAAAGAATATACATGGAAATATATATAAAATATGAAACTAGTAAATACTCAATCAATTTTAGGATAATAAAATAGTTTTTTTTGTTTTAAAATTTTTAATAATAAATTACTTTCCATAAAATTTCTTTTTTTTGGTTTTTGTTTTTTTTTTTTTTGGTTGTTTAAGCAGCCATCGTCTTCACCATCGCGAAGCCAGGTCAAGTGTGGAGTTTTCTTGATACAGAAGAACATCGGTAAGGTCAATCGTTTTGGTTTACTTTTGCTTTGTTTTCCTGTGTTTTCATCGCATTCTTTCTGTTGATAACGTTGATTGTGTATTTTGCTTCTAAATTGTGGGAAGACAAATGTGCGATGATTATTTTCTGTTTCTAGTTATTGG